AAAGAATGTTTGAAACAAACAATTATCCTGGATGAAGCATGAAATGACCTTAGAGTTTATCCAGGCTATTTTACTTGGGTTCTGTGTGGAGTAAGGTTACTCCAGTCTCATCTGTCACTGCAGATGTTATCACTAGTAGTAATGCAGCACTTGTGGTAATTACCACTACTCACTCAACAGGCAACACATTTTATTAAAACATCATAATCCTTGCATTTGATATAGTGCCTTATCACGTCTTCGAGATGTCTCAAAGCGCTTCACAGAACACGCTGTAACGTGAATTGACTGTGTGTTTTGTGGGCAAAATACGGCAGCCATGTGGTATTGATAGGGTATTGACACAGTATTCCTAAAAGTAGTTGTGGTATTCATAATATTTACAAGCCCAATGGGTATTGATTTGTTTCTAAGCTGCTAGTTTCATTGTTGGCAAGGACTAATAGTCCAGAATCTGAAATGTGTGATAAATCACACCAAACACATTATGAAACCTTGCTAAATCTTACCCTATTGTCAGTTTTAGACCAAATGCCTTTTTGATGACTCGAAAAAAAACTAAATAATACTCAGGAACACATTACACTATAATAGCATTTTTATATTATCATCAATTATTTTGTTCAATTATTTGAATTGAATCTATTTTCTTCTCTTGTGAATGGCTGGGCGTGTGCTCCAGTTCAGCAGTTCAACAGTCGAACAGGCTCCACTGGTCACTAACACCACTCATTACTTTGTGGAGTCCAAGGCAAAGAGATGGTGAAAGGTTCCCGCATCAGTTAGATACTGAATGCTGCAATGTTATAATGCAGTAGGCTGTGCAATAGGCAATTAAGCGGAGGCATCTTAATTCATCAATACACCGTCAAGAATGTGCTCAGTTTGTATATCGCTGAACTCTTAAATACCTTTTCCGACTATATATAATAATCCTTGATTTTGATACAGCGCCTTATCACGACTTCGAGACGTCTCAAAGCGCTTCACAGGATACACTGTAAAGTGAATTGACAGTATATTTTGTGGCCAAAATTAATGGAAGAATTGACGTTGTTAATGGATGGACTAACCTAATCTTTGATGAAGATCTTGAATAAATGCTGTCAGAATCAACAATTTCAGCAAACAAAATCCACCATCTGTAGGAGACTGAGACTCGCTGTGTGTTTCTGTTACCTAGTTACCAGCAGGTGTGTCAGTGCCAACTAAATTGAAATGGAGGATTTATCTTCTCCTGTTTGTTACCGCAGGCTCGACTGCAGATATTCATTTTTATATTCAACTGGGAGGAGGAGGAGGAGAATATACGATTCAACTTTTCAAACATTTATAAAGTTCTTGAAAGGCTTCCTCTCAGGTTCGCGAACATTGTCTGCTGGCCCGCTCACAAAGCTATGTGAACAGCTGTACAGGTCTAGCAATAGCAATCTTATAAATCTTTACAGGACCTTCCTAACATTGGATTAAAATTGACGCTGGATCTATTGATCAGACAGTCGTCTCCCCAAAGCTGCTGGGTTTGAGCTTTGAGACCTCTGTGCCAAACTGACCTATAAATTCAATTAAAAGCAATGCCTCCCATTACATTACATCATTATAAACCCCACATGTTTCTGCTTTAGTGATGCACATGTTTATATAAATGTAGATTGAGGCTAATTGTCTACAAAAACAAATGCATAGGCACTCTGAGCTGTAATTTTCGATTGATATGATTTAACACAGTCTTTGGATTTAATCAATGTTGTGTTTCCACTCGCATGTGCAATGTTGGGATCATTTAAACTTGAGCAAACTTTTAAAGATAATAAAAGCAGAGATAAAGCCTTGTAAAGGTATCCAGTTAACCACACTTAGTCTAATCTTTTTAATTTGATTGGAATCCCAGGTTCATAAAAGGGAAACACCTTTGACACTTTCTGTTCCAATCTTGAATTAAGTTATGGACTGAAAATAGAGTTTTCTATTTTTGTATAATTATATATTTAAAAGGAATAAACTGCGCCAGACTATAAGATGGGTGTCGCCCACAAAACATACAGTCAATTCACTTGACAGTATATCCAGTGAAGTTCTGTGAGATGTCTCGAAGACGTGATAAGGCGCTGTGTCAAATGTAAGGATTATTACTATATTATTATAAGCAGAACCTGTGTGTAATCTATGTGGAGGTTAACATTTGCTCCACAGTATTTTCAATTAAACAACATTTGATTTAATCTGAATCTCACACGGGAAAACAACCGAACAAGTTTGCTGCCTTATTTTGAAAACTTTTTACTGCCTTTATTTTGCTTTCATTTTGTTTCTGTATGTAAAGGATGGGGCATGTTGTCTGAAGGACTGCGATGACATAGTTACAGTATGAAAGATTCTATCAGTCACTCTACGCAGTGGATCACTGTACCTCGATAATGGCAAAGTTTGGTTCTCCCACGTTCTCGATGGGTTGGCATCATCTCGTTTATTTTCTTACGCTGTACATACAGCAAGATGCTCTAACTCCCAACACACAATGAACTGAGATTTCATTATTTGCATAAAATCAGCTCATTGTAAATGAGGCATAACATGATTCATCATAGCATGAAAGGCAAGGGGTAACCTTTGGACACGTTGGGCTGATGCCAGGCAGTAATATGTCCAATCCTGCTGTTGCCTCTTGTCTTGTGGATAGAATTTAAAGGAACAAAAATTGCCTGCATTTATCAAAAATAACAATAATCCTCGCATTTGATATAACGTTTTATCACATCTTCGAGACGTCTCAAAGCTCTTCACAGGATATACTGTAAAGTGAATTGACTGGGTATTTTGTGGGCGAACTGCGGCAGCCAATTGCACACAGCAGCGTCCCACAAACAGTCGGGGATTGAGTGATCAAATCACAATGTGACATGAAGAATGATTTAATTGCTTTGTTAGTAAACAAGTCTGGCATCGAATAACTAACACTCAATTCTGAAAGAACAATGGTTAAGTACAAGATTTAAGATAATGGACAATCCTGTACTGGTTGTTCACTTGGCTGTTTGTGGGACATTACTGTGTGCAAATTGGCTGCCGAGTTCACCCAGAAAAATGCACATTTTACAGCATATCCTCTGAGGCACATTGGGTTATCCTCCTGACACTAAACCATGTATATATATAAGGATTATTATTTGTCTTATTTGGGGTTTAAATGGAGAAAATTGTGCTACCAGAATCTGGCTGTTGATTAAAGCCTTAAAAAAGAGACATCCTTCCAAATTAATTTATGTCAGTGCCATATTTAAGATGAATTTGGTGTCACTTTAGCTCGCCAAGTGCATGTTGTGATCTGCCGATGGGAACACAGATGCAAAAGAAAGGTGGAGCCGAGTGTCAGGAACGACAGCAGCAATTGTTTTGTGTGTTCCTCAGGAAACCCTATCGGACTTCATGTGTCCCGGCTTCTCAGAGCGAGCATGCTTTGCTGCCAGTTAAACATCAGGTAGTTTACATAACTGCTATAATAGTGAGCTTCTAATGGGTTTACTATATGATTTACAATGATCTGTGGAGTGGGCCGAAATCTTAGGCAAGTTTCCTTACTCCACACTCCTCTGTTTATCAGCAGTGAGTAGGAACCTGGTGGTTAGTCGATTTGTGGATCGCTTAAAAAAGTAGTAGTGATAATCTGGTCACTCAATCCTCGACTGTTTGTGGGACACTACTGTGTGCAATTGGCTGCCGCGTTTCGCCCACAAAATGCACAGTGAATCCACTTTACAGTGTGTTCTGTGAAGCGCTTTGGGACGTCCTCCCGACGTGAAAAGCGCTATATCAAATGCAAGGATTATTATTACAGTATATTCAGTGAAGCACTTTGCGGTCGTCTCAATGATGTGAATAAGGCCCTATATCAAATGCAAGGATTATTAGTAGCAGCAGCAGTAGTGGTGGTAGTAGCAGGCAATACTGTGACATTTTAACATAATGATGAGATGCAACGATGCACATAACATTTGCCTGCGCACGCTAACCCTATAGAGTTTCACGTGTAATTTATTTTTACTCCTTAATTGGATCTGCATCAAGTGGAATTGCATGAGTGTGTTATTCGAATCATGGGAAGTGGCAACTCATCTCTGAGTCAGGTTATATGACGTGCGTCTGTATGACCGTATTGCGAATCCTCATTAAATTGTTCGCTGGGTCCACAGTTTGCTCGGGAACTGTGAATGAAGATACTTTTGTCAGTTTACAGGCAGTTGTGTTGTTTGTGCTCAGCAGCCTGGCAGCGCAGGTGATAGTACAGCTGTGCCCCTCAGCAGATGGCTGTGTGTTTGACTTGCCTGTCACTTGCACTTGTCACAGCGCTGTTTGTAAGGCAGTGCTGCAGGACCAGCAACAACAACTTGCATTTACACAGTGGGGCAGCGTCACAGAGTGCTTAACAGTGGCGGAGACTGACACCGAGCAAGGGGGAGGGAGGGAGGGAGGGAGGGAGGTCTTCAATCATGATCTGAAAAAGGGGGTGGAGGGAGCGAGGCAGAAGGAGGGACTGGAGTAGAGAGTTCCAAAGCTTCGGGGTTGAAAGCGCGGCCACAGAGGGAGGGAAGAAATAGAACGAGAGACAGCCAGTTGCAAAAATCCTCTGGTGTCAGCTGATCGTATTGCTGTACTGACCTCATTCACGGCGTAGCTTTGGGTGAGGATCATTTGTGCCTTGAGTGATCATTTAGGCATTCCGTAAGCAAGCAGCGGAGAAGGAGAAATACAACAGCCAAAATAAAACCTTGAAATCTATCTGGGACAGACAGATATTCTTTTCGAAGGCAGTTGGCTAATTGCAGCTTAAACATCTGCGTCAGCCAGCCAGCAAAGAGAAATGATGAAAAATCTAGTAAATTATTAATATCCGTATAAGAATATCCCAGTTAATTAGGTCCAGCTTTCCTCTTGTTAAACACCTCCTGTTTAACACTTCCCTTTCACATCGCAAAGCAGGTGTTTCACTCCAGTCCTTTTTGGCTCAGCTTTTCCCAGTGGAGAGATCTCTCCTGTAATCGATTACATTTTCAGGCGTGCATGATCCTTGCCAGCCATTTTACTGTGTGGCGGCTGCTTGAATTGTGTTTACTTCTCTATTTGCTTTGAAAATATGTGTAAAGTCCACGACTGAGAAGAAAAAGACTAGGAACTTGAACCACATTGAATTACAAACGTATTGAAAGTTCCCTCCGCAGGATTTGTCTGTGTGTGAATGAACCTCAAACCTCGATCACTGAGGTAGGTTCTGCACTGTATTGTAATCACCAGTACTCAAACCCGTGTTGCAACGTCTGGTTAAGTGTAATCTCGAGAATGTGTGTACACGTGTCCAAAAGAAGATTAAAAGCAATCAGCGACGTTGGGTAATTTCTCTTTTCGTTATTTTAGGTAAACCAGGACAGCGACTCAGATCAGCCAGAATGACAATAAGGGAAATCCAAATCTAACCAGGAAATCACTAGCCCAGTTAATCACATTACCCGGTTTCAAGGTGAGTGTTTGCATTCTTACTATCAAATTCGCTCGTGCCTAGTTAATAAATAATAACATTTCAGTTTACGACAGGCCGCCCAAAAAGTCGTATTTTTCAGCTACCCGATTATCTGAAGAAATATATCACCGTTTCTTTAAGACGTTCTTCAATAATAAGTAATAATCCTTGCATTTGATAGACTGCCTTATCACGTCTTCGAGACGTCTCAAAGACATTGTGATGGTATCACGAGTCTGAAGGCATTTTGCCCACTGACCGTTACGGCTTTTGCTTATAGGTTGAGAGCATGTTTACACCTTCAAGCCTGGCTGTTGAGGCAGACAGACAAATACCTTTTTAACAAAACCTTTTTTAAAGTTTAACAAACACCTGAGATTACTGTTCACCTGCATAACTCGCCCCTGGGTTTGTCACCTCGGAGCAAGTTCAACCTCAGGAACACCTGCTTACCTACTCCCCTCCTTGGAGGATATTGTTATAAGAGATCCGACTCATTTTATTCAATTGCAAAAAGAGCAAAGGACTTTTTGAACCAACTGAGTTTCCCAGGATTCTAGAATTATTATTTATTCCTATTATTGCTTAATATGATTGGGTAGAAATTTAGACGGCAAAAAAAATTATAAAAATGTTTATTTTAAAACGTGCTGAGAAGCGAAATGTCACAGTGGGGCTTGTGGGTTTTGAACACTGGTGTTTCTGTGGCAGGTTTAAGCTGGTTGACAAGATGAGCGTATCTTTGTAACAGCTTTCTGCCTGGAATTATAAGCCTATTCACATCAGAGCCTGTGTTAATATAGTGAATAAATGATTCAGTGGTCTCCCACAGAGTCTCTGAAACTCAAACGTCAGCTGATTCATTGGCGCGTTCAAAATACAACAATAACAACAAGCATTTATATAGCGGCCTTCACGTGGGGTAGGGTCCCGGAGCGCTTTACAGTGGCGGAGTCTGACACCGAGCCGGTGGGGGGGTGGGGGTGGCGGGAGAGGAAGGGGCGGAGGTGACCTTAAGCACGATCAAAAAGGCAGGTCTTTAGATGGAGTACAGAGTGGACTTAATGGAAGGAATCACACTGAACTCTTCCACTAAGTCATTCCAGGCTCACTTAAAGAATTGCTACATTTCGAATCTCTACCCAGATAGATATCTGGGGGTAGCATTCAATTAGTCTCTGACGCACAACACTAGAATTGATGCTGAAATTGGAATTCATTCAGTCCAGAAAAACTGCAATTGTATCGAGTAAAATCCCAGCTCCAAATAGATCCCAGAGCGTGACTAGTTACAACCTGGCAATGTTATTATATATAATAATAATCCTTGCATTTGATATAGCGCCTCATCACGTCTTCGAGACGTCTCAAAGCGCTTCACAGAACAATAATATATTCTGTCGAGTGAATATTGACTGTAAAGTGAATTGACTGGAAATTTGTGGGGGAACCTTTCCGAGTTGACCTGTATCACGATTGGAAGCGTACTGAAAACAAGGGTGGGCTTTGATTCTTAATTGCTGAATTAAAGCTAAATAAACTAAACTATCACAGCCTGTTCTTTTGCAAACCCATCTCTGTTTGATAGATGCATTACATCAGCTTGTCAAAGCTATTTCGGTATAATCTATGCCATTTTGGGTTGCAGACAGACCAGCCAGAGATTAAACTCAACCCACACGAGTGTCATCTATTTAATTCAAGGCTATGATTTTTGTCTTTACTTTGGCAGGAGTCAATATTGTAAGTGAGGTAATGTCAGCCTTTTACAACACTCGCTTGTTTGTTTCCAGAGTACACGGAGTGCGATGAAGTAGGTCTTTAACTAAATTAATATTTTCAGAGAGCTTTTACATTGGAACGCAATAAGCCTTAAAGGGTCACGTGTCTGAACTTCGTCTGATTCACAAGGATTGTGGAGTCCTGTAGCTCAGTGGTTAGAGCACTCGCCTCGCAAGCCAGAGGACCCGGGTTCGATTCCCGGGCTGGGCGAAACCTTGGGCAAGTTTCCTTACTCCACACACACGCCGCTGTTTACCAGCAGTAAGCAAGAACCCAGTTGTTAGTCGATTGGCAGATCACTTTCCCGGGGGTAATAATTTCTTCCCCAAAAAATAATAATAATTTGGTCACTCAATCCACAACTGTTTGTGGGACGCTGCTGTGCGCAATCGGCTGCAGCGTTTTGCCCACAAAAAATACACGAGTCAATTCACTTTCTGTGAAGCGCTTTGAGACGTCTCGAAGACGTGATAAGGCGCTATATCAAATGCAAGGATTATTGTTGTTATTATTATTTTCATTTCAACTGAACCTGCCTTGGCGTGAAGCTGTGGTGCTGAGAAGCAATCAGCTGGTTTTATAGTGTATGCAGTGCAGCAAAGCTTTACCTGTGGGAGCAGCCTGGCTTCTTGACAGAAAGACTAAACCTTCACTGCAGCAACAGAGAGCAAGAGAGAGAGAGAGAGAGAAACAAAGGAGGCTAAGGCTGACCTTTATTACTGTCCTCATTTCTCTCGGTGCAACACTCTAAGCCGCTCCACTGAAATGTTTTTTAATGACCCATCTTCTAATCTTTGGGTCGTGAGCTAAAATTTACACTCGCTTAAGGTCGATCAAAAATGGTTAATTAGCAACATCTCAGCCTCACCTAATGAATAATTCCCTTATAACTACCCACAGACATGTTGCCTTTCGCAGAAAGATACTTGGTGTGTTATTGACGATGTGTGTAAATATTTTTCTTTGAAGCCATCTCAAAAATAGACAGAAATTTCCCTGAGATAGTGGATAGGTTGCCTTCCAATGAAAAAAGTTATTCAATCTGATTTATTCGAGTAAGTACATTTTATATGAGTGTAGGACATCTTGATCCTGTCATTGGAAGAAAAGGGGGAAGAGGGGGTAATCTGCAAAAAATGAGCTCAAATGGATGGTGAAAAAATAGCCAAGAACAACTTGCACTTACATAGCGCCCTCCACGCAGGGCAACGGCTCAGAGCGCTCGAATATAATAATAATAATATAATCCTCACATTTGACAGAGCGTCCTATCACATCATCGAGACGTCTTAAAGCGCTTCCCAGGATACACTGTAAAGCACGGTGGAGCATCGAAGCATTACGCCAGCAGTTATTCCATCAACATTTGAGTCCAATACCTTGTAGTTTTATCATCAACTATAATAGAGCTGCAACTTGGCCTTAAAAAGGATATATGAATTAACTTATATATAGCATTCTATATATAATATATATATACACACAGTAATTTCCAGAACTCAACCTCGATGTTGAAGGAGGTGCCAAACAGAGGATAGCTGCTTCCGTACTTAGAAGGAACAAGTCAGTGAACCTTTCATGTGTTTTCCAAGAACGAGTTGCAAAGTAGCGCTGGGCATAAGTCGGAAAGTGAAGACACACAACGTGGAGAGACCAGAATAGGGACGGTAATGGAATTTTGCATCGTCCGATTGTGATTGAGAAAGAAAATTGGAAAGAAACGAGACATTTTAAGGCGCCTTAAAAAGGCGTAGATGATTATTCTGTTCGCTCCGAGTCTCAATACGTCATTTTATATTAACTGGAGCTTAAAAGCAGTAACGGTGCCATCTGCTGGAGGTTTAGATACTCAGGGAACTTTCAAAGTCCAAACTACAATCCAGTTACATATTAACACAGAACTTCTGCTAACTATAACTTTGATGCCCCCTCTCTCCAACTCTGCCTCCTCAGACATTAACACGCAGCTTTAAGGGTTTCAATACTGTGCTCCTCACCAAACGTCGACAATGATCTTGAGTACTGCATGCAGTTAATAATAATAATAATTATAATTATAATAACAATAATCTTTGCATTTGATACAGCACCTTATCACGTCATCGAGATGTCTCAAAGCGCTTCACAGAGTAGACTGTAAAGTAAATTGTATTGTATCTCATTCTCTTGAGAGTAAAACAAAGTGCTAAGATTGTGGGCTGTCTGGGGGTACCAAAGTGGAACTGCAGCTGGCTTTTGATGATAAAACTACAAGGTATTCATTTTATGGTGACATTTTATAGGGTCCACTTGAGATTCCTGTAGCCAGGGGATAGCTGTCCAGTTCTCAGGTCTCTGAACTAAGGGGGAGGCTCAATGATAATATTAATAATAATAATAATCCTTTCATTTGATACAGCGCCTCATCAAGTCTTCGCGATGTCTCAAAGGTGGTTCATAGGATACACTGTAGAGTGAAATGACTGTGTATATTAATAATAATATAATAATAATCCCTGCATTTGATATAGCGCTTTTCACGTCTTCTCGACGTCTCAAAGCGCTTCACAGAATTTGCTGTAAAGTGAATTGACTGAATATTTGTGGACGACCCGGCAGCCAATTGTGCACAGCAGCGTCCCACAAACAGTCGTGGGTTGAAAATGATCAATTTATTCTTGTTTTGTTTTTTGGAGGGATCATTATTAGACATGTGGAGTAAGGGAACTTGCCCAAGGTTCCGCCCTGCCTGGAATTGAACTCAGGTGTCTCGTTTCCTGGGCGAAACACGGCAGCCAATTGCACACGGCAGCGTCCCACAAGAGGTCGTGGATTGAGTGACCAAATTATTATTATTATTATTTATTTTCAAATTTGCACCTGGCTTTTCTTTTCCCTCGCTATACGAATCCGATAGGAAAGGCAGTCACAGCCCCTCAGTTACGCAGGCACATTTGGAGAATGATGTGCAGTGCAGTGCAGGCCAAAACGATGGACGCACTATATATATATTTCCCCCCCGTCAATGTGAAGCAATTATTGCCTCAATTCCCTCAGCTCCCACTGCATTTACTACCGCTTCCTGTGTTTCCATTTTCATTGTTTCAGGATGGATGACACAGTTTGTGCTAAGCCGCAGAGATATTGTTTAGACTGCGGCTCACTCAGTCAGTACATTGGAGGCTGAGGCCCCTATGGCACCGAGTTAACGTAATTCTGTCTTGTTTCACAATATAGAA